CAGCAGGCATTGGGGGAGTCAATGTTCCCCCGAGCACAGCCAGGAGGGACCAGGAATAACGGTCACAAGCTGGCAGAGGGTAGGTTTAGGTTAGATATCAGGAAGCGCTACTTCACGGTCAGGGCGGCTAGGGTCTGGAACCAACTTCCAAGAGAAGTGGTGCAGGCTCCTACCCTGGGGGTTTTAAGAGGAGGTTAGATGTACACCTTGCTGGGGTCGTTTGACCCCAGTACTCTTTCCTGCCATGGCAGGGGGTCGGACTAGATGATCTGCTCAGGTCCCTTCCAACCCTAGAAACTATGAAACTATGAAACAACTGGCTAGAGCCAGAGGTGCCTGTGAGTCTGTGGCCAAGTCCCCTTTGCAATCCCAGAGGCACAGAGCTTGCACACCTATTCTGAAACAGCAAGGGTTCAGCAGCTGCCTGAATTCTGCCAGAACCCAAACTCCTTCCTCTGACCCAGTAACCCAGGAAACAGCCGGCCTCCAGCCCTCCAATACGAATCCACGGCCTCCTTCTGGGAGACAGGGAAGGACAACTAGCCCCATTTTAAAAGATGGAGAAACTAAGTGCCTTGACAAAGCCATAAAGGAAGACCAGATGAGAACTGGGATCTCCTCTGCTCCTGGCCACAGCAGCAGACCTCCATGCCCCTCTGTCCTCCCCCAAAAGAGGATCGCGTCAGATAATAGGACACACCTGCAGCCACTCAGACTGGTTATTGCTGACAGCAGTCCAGGCGTTGGTCTTGCCTGTCTTGTCCAGACGGGCATAGTGGGGGTACCAGGTGAACGCATCGAGGCCCCATGTCTTGAAAGCACTGGAGGCCGTGATCTGCTGGTCAGAGATCAGGCGGGATTTCATGCCCAGCGGCTCCGAGCAACCTGCCATGTTGAAATACACTGTAACACAATGGTTTACAGACAGTGACATGGAAGAGGCCAGCAGCATCACCATCCAAATAAACACAGAGCAGACACCCAGATGCCTGAGAGACATGAAAAGCAGAGACCCCCCAAATGCACCAAGCGGGGACCAAGGACCCAGAAAGCAGCAATCCCAAGGGCCTCCACTCAGCACAGCAGGAATATCCAAAGACCCAAGCATACAGAGTTAGAAGCCCCAAATCTCCATCTCCTTCAAGCAGGCAAGAGAGGCAGTTGGATTTGGCGAGTTAGCTGCAGTTTTGTCCCCTGATGTATTTGCTAAGGGCCATTTGCTGGCTGGCAGCACCCCCTGCTGCAGGGAGATGACCACTGCCGTTACTGCCCCTACACCAAGGTGCTGGAGCCCCGAGCCCAGTGCTCACTGCACGCTGGCTCACAAACAGCTGCACCCTAGAATTACCAGGGAGCAACATCTCCACCTGGAAGAAAGCCCCCTATGATTGCGTGCCTGCCCCGCATGCCCACCTTTGGGGCAGAGAAGCCTATCAGGGCTGAGGAAGGACACCCATAGAGCTCCTTCCCCTCCTCCTTGGGAACCCAGTCTCACTGTGGGGGAGGAGGGGATGGAGCAGAGTCCTGCAGCTGAAGACAGCTCTGCTCTCTCCCTGCCTCCTCTGGGTTTCATGGACAGCTCCTCCTCCTGTCCATGAAACTTGCCTAAGACAGGACCCCCCTGAAGCCCCCAGGGATGGAAGAGGGGCTGCTGAACACCCTGAGCTGCAGAGAGGAGGCAGGAAGCAAAAATGGAGGCAGAACTGATGGGAGCTTGAGAGGCCAGAACTCGGTTGGGGCACGGGGATGGTGCTAGACATGCTCTCCTCAGCACTGCCCAGGTGCAGAGCCTGCTCTCAGGGCAGCAGTGTAAAGCAGGGTCACTCCCTCCTCTGCCCAGTAGTTTCCCAGCCTCTGCCATCTAACCACCTCCCACCCTCAACAACTGCATGGAAACACTAGGCTGGCAGCTGGAGGCTGCTAGGGAGAGGAGGAAGATCCAGCTGGGGGCCGCTTCCCATCCCTTGGCCAGACAACACCCTGCAGCTGGGCAGCTGTAAGCAACCCTGAGATTCCCATCACCACCGGTGGATGTCACTGTGGCCCTGGATGCTTTCAAGGAAGAGATGGATGAAGGGAAGGGGAAGATGCAAAAGCAAAGCACAGCTGCTTTAGGCAGCATTAAACCTGGGTTCTGTGCCCAAGACCTGCCAGTTGGTGCCACTCAGCACAGCTCACTCTCCCCAGAAGGCTCCAGGAAACCCCAGATGCTGAACCCTCAAGCTAATTCCAGCTCCCAGGGTTCCTAGAGATTTCCCCCACTCCTCCTTGCAGTGTTTCTGCTGGGTTTGCTCTTCCACCTCCCTCCTGCCTGCGCCTGCGGGGGGGAGAGAAACCTGGCAGGCTCCCAGCAGGGCTGAGCCATGGCATGCTCCAAGGCCTTGGTGTTACAATTTGAATGTGCAGCTGCTTGAAGCAGCTGGATGGATGCCCCTGCAAACAGAGGCTTCTCTATTGCCCCAAGCAATTGCAAGCATGAGCAGCGGCAGGAAACGCTTATCACCTCCATGCCCCCTGCTCTGGAACCCCAGCCCAGATGCATCCATGCAAGGGCACCTGGTCTCCAAGCAGCCAACCTAATCCTTGGCCTCTGCAGAAGAAGTCTGCAGTGCCAGCTGTGACACAGACACATGAACCCCCCAACAACGGCACCAGCACCATCAGCTGATCGTACAGGCAGGCAGGCAGCAGGGACTCACTACCAGCCTCCTCAGGCACCCTGGCTCTTGACAGCACTGCCCAGACAAGCACTCAGTGTTCAGGGTTTAAAGGAGAGAGTCAATTCTGTCCCCTCCCCCTCTCCCCCAGCAAAGCAATCCAGGGGGCTGCGATCTGGGCTCACTGCATCACGCACTGCCTAGCACATGGGTCAGGGCAGGAATGCGAAGCTGGCAGGGGAGAAGTCCAGCTGACTGAACCTCAGTTTAAGCTGTAATTCTAGGGGACTTTGATCCTTGAGCCTTTTGCAAACTCTGCAGCAGTGTTTCCAGCCAGCCGCGAAATGGAAACAGCATCTGGTTAACAGCACTCACGGGGCGTGAAGAACTATTCTGAATCTTAATTCAGATGGCCTGGGAAGGAGCAAGGGAAAAGGGGGTGCAATTACCCGAGACATGCAATTACCCAAGACATGATCTGGCTGAAACAAAGGGATTAACAGCCTCCAGCCCTGTGGAAAGCCTCCGCAGATCTCTTGCAGCCCTGAGTCTCCTGGTCTCAGTACAGGGACCACCCCTCCAGTAGCACCAAGGGCATGCCTCGTACAGATTTGCTGCACTGCTCCCTGCAGCCCAGCACCCTCCAGCAGCACACCTGGGCACTAGTGTTAGGACAGAGTGCTCCCTACAGAGTCTCGACAGCCACCTCCTGCATCAGCTGGGTTTCATAGATTCATAGATTGCAGTCGGAAGGGACCCAATGGATCATTGTGTCCGACCCCCTGCATCTGGCAGGAAAGAGGACCGAGGTCAGATGACCCCAACCAGGTGACTATCAAGCCTCCTCTTGAAGACCTCCAAGTTAGGTGATAGCACCACTTCTCTTGGAAGCCCATTCCAAATTCAGGCCACCCTCACTGTAAAAGTATTTTTCCTAATGTCTAACCTAAATCTACTCTCCACTAGCTTGCAACCATTATTCCTAGTTACTCTCTGGGGCGCTCTGGTAAACAGCGCATCTCCAATTCCCTGTTGTCCTCCCTTGATAAACTTATAGGCAGCTACAAGGTCTCCCCTCAGCTGTCTCTTGTGAAGGCTGAAGAGATCCAGATCTCTCAACCTCCCCTCGTAGGGTCTTTCACAGAGGTCACTAATCATGCGAGTGGCCCTCCTCTGAACCCTCTCCAGATTCCGTGTCCCTCTTGAAGTGCAGCGCCGAAAACTGGACACAGTACTCCAGCTGCAGCCTGACCAATGCCACATAGAGGGGGAACATCACCTCCCTCGATCTGTTGGTCGTGCATCTGCTAATACACCACACAGTGCGACTGGCCTTGTTACACTGCCGGCTCATGTTCATCTTGGAGTCAACTATTGCTTCAGCATTGCTTCCTTCAGCATTGACCCAACCAAGAACTAGCCCAAAGTGTAGGAGCCCACTGTAGAGAGGGGAGCAAGTGCCCCAAGCCGCATGCCATCTGTTTGGCCCAGGACAGACATTTACCATTCATCTCACAGCCAACGAGCTCAAAGCGCAGCGTGCAAGCCCGGCGGCACTGCATGGGGTAGATGCGAATATACTGCGCCGTGATGGGAGTGTTGAACATATTGGTCTTCATGCTGTAGTTATCCACATTCCCAAGAAACACCTGCAGGAGCAAAGGCCACAACAAAATATGGGGGGGAGAGTGTTAGAGCCCAGGATGGCATCCTCCCCCACAGCCTCTCTCCACTCTGCACCCTGGCCAGCCAGCAGATTTTGACCTTATGGGACACACAGCAAAGCCACATAGCAAAACCCTTCTCCACTAGCCTGGGAGGAGGCTGTCCCAGGACAGCTAGCTCCAGCTGTTACAACAGCATGAGCCATGATGCCAAAAGTTACGAAACTGACTTAAAACCCGGGAAATGCCTTCGTCCTAAATAACAAATGTCACATTCTTTCCCTTTGTCTTGTGGCTTTACACCTTCAGGGCACACTGGCATTATATGTCCAGGCTTTTTTCTGGACACTCCTGTAAAGTGACTATCTGACATTCCCTTATACTCACGGGATGTCAGAAACCTGGGCTTTGGGGAACCATCAGTTACTTAGGGGCTTAAGTAAAATCGTGAGGGCTGGCAACACTGCTATCACTCAGAAAGGCAGCTTCTGTCAGCTTACCGGCAAGTAAATATAGTATATATGGTCTACTATCACACAGAAATGTATAATCCTAATAGTGCTGCATAGAACAGACCCACTTATGAACTCAGCCCCCACAGCAAACAGTTCACAGGCCAAACCTGAATCCTATAAATGTGGCTGCTGTGGAGGCTGAGCCTGACTGATCCGAAGGAGTCACCATTCCCTCCAGTGTCTGCATGTGGTTCCCTTTACCCATGCCCCACCCCCCCTTCAGGTGGTGTAGCAGGTCCCCCCATGTCACAGAGTACTGTCCCCAATCCATGACAATCAAACAAGAGATAGCAGATGCAGAGCACCAAACAACACAGTTCCTATGCCATCCAGCTGAAAGCTGGGAGACCATCAGGGTTTGCTGAGTAAGTACCAAGTGGCTGGCCAGGTATTTCCAAACACTGAACAAGAGCTCACAGGGAAGAGAAAATGAAAGGTGGGGTTTTTGTCACAAGCCACAGCTTTCCTGCCCTTTGGCCGACTGCAGTGTTGTTGGTGTGGGCAGGCGCAGGGTGTATACACATGTGAGATCATTTGCCCTATTAGGAAATCACTGGCATTTATTGTTCCGTGTCTTGGATGAGATTTCCACCGTCTTCCTTACTGCAACCACAGCTCTTCCTTCCAGACTTCCCCTCCTCTCTCTGAGGCCACACAGTACCCCCAGTGCTCTGCTTTCACTATGTGATCACTGTACATGCCAATACCCCCATGCACGGACCCCCTGCCCTGCAATGACACAGCCCCACCCTCCCCATCTTTTCTTGCAACATCCAGCACCAATAGACCTGTTACCACAGCACCCACCTTTTCTCTGTCATGTTTCTCATCCTTGTAGAACATAAACTCACGCCCATCCAAGCTGTAGGCCACTCGGAAGATGCGTGCATACTCTGCCTTGCCCGCACGGCTAGCACCCTGGGTGATGATGCCAGTCAGCCTCATCTTCCTCAGCAGGTTGGCCTGTGGCAGGATGAGTGGAAGAGGGTGAGGAATACATGCCAATATGCACTCTCTGTTTGCACCCTGAACTCCCTTGTCTCCTATAGGCTCAGCACCATATACACGACCTGCAACTCTGCTGGTGCCAGGCAAGACACTTAGGAACAGACTCAGCCTGAGATCCCCAACAAGAGAAGTCCTCCAAAGGATCTTCTGTCCATCTCCAGGCTCCTCCATTTCCACTGTGCTAGAACCCCTTATTGCTATGGCCCCACATTCCAATTCTGGTCCCACCATTAAGGAGGAGGGATGCATCACTTTGCAAGGCAGCGCAAGATGTTTCCCCAGCAACTCCTCCCATAAAATTAAGCCCCTGCATCCCAGCAGCAAGGGTTTATCCCCTAAAGGAACCCTATGCCTCAATCTTATCAACACCCCTACAGCACCCACTTCTTTTAGGTGCTGATTTTAGCATGGAAAACAGCACTGGGTTTGGTCATTTAACCCCTTCTTTGTTGACAGGGTTCAGACTTGTCCTCCCCCCACCCCATGAGAAACAGAAAGTACAGGAGGGATCTACAGCAGGAAAGAGCAACTTTCTGATAAGTCCACCATCCAGTCTCCAGCTGTGGCCAAGGCTTGATGCCCACTGCCCCATGAACTCACAGCTTCCCCCAAGAATACACCATGGGACTCTCCAGAAGGCAGGTACCTGAATCCAGGGATTCTTGTCATAGTTACTGGAGGTCCAGGCATTCACGATCCCCTGGTTGTTGAGCCGGGCAAGCTCAGGACCCCAGCGCTGCAGGCCAAGGAACCCGTAGTACACAGATGAGGCAGAGAGCTGAGCATCTGCAATGGCACCTCCCTCCATGCCTAGCAGATTGGCACAGCCTGGAACAGGGGCAGGAACAAAGACAGAGGAAGCAGGGCAGTGAAGGACGAGAGATGACAGAGAAAAAGAGGAGGAGGTGGAGAAAGAGTGACAGATTGTGACTGGGAGTTGAAAGCATGGAGTCATTCTCCTGCCTTGCATCACAGGAGTTTGTAGCTACCACACTCTTGGCCTTCCAGAGAGACCAAATGCTCCTGGGCCCAAAAGCAAAGACAGATCAATGCCATGGTTTCCACTGGCCACTCATGACAGTGGGCCCATTTTTCAGAAAAATGGGAACATGGTTGTTTCCACCTATTTCCTGCCACAGCTGGCTCCTCCCTGGCCCCTTCTCATGGCTTCACCCTCAGCATTTCTATCAACCGAGTCATACAGACCTACTTGGTCTGTACCAATCCTGAATGCAGGCAGAGGGGCAATATCTAGGTCTGTACGAGTGCTCTGTGAAGTATCTCACCACCAGCTCAAGTGTAGACAGACTGGCGAGGAATGCCCCTGCCTTTGAGGCTCCCTTCTCTGCCATCAGGGCATCCCATCCTCACATACACACTTACAGCAACCTGAGGAGGTGAATTCTTACTCTGGGTTGTGTTGTGCTGTAGCCTCCAAAGCTCCCTGCCCCCCATCCGAGCAAGGAGGCAGGAGGAGAGCTGGTAGTCCTGCAGAGACACTGCACAGCTATCTCCCTGAGCCCAGCTCCACCACTAATCTCAGCATCAAGCAGCACACAGCAGACACCTGAGCTGCTGGACTCTAGAAATTATTCATGTCCTTTGAGCCAACCAAGGGGAGCTTCTTTGTGCTGCCGAGGCCTGAGCGGACCAACTGGGAGCCAGGGGTGAGGGGGCCCCACGTAATCTCATCACTGTCAAGGACTTACGGATCTGGCAGGTCCTCCCCAGAAAGGGAGAGGAACATTTGCAGGTATAGTCGCCATCCAGATCAAGGCAGGTGCCTCCATTTCTGCACGGCTGTGAGGAACACTCGTTCTTGTCTAGGGGAGACAGGAAGGGAAAGACTGAGGGCGTAATGCCAAATCTTCGGTTTGCACC